CTACATTACACAGCTGATCTGAGCAAAACAAAGGTCTGCCTGCATTGGAAGGGAGCGCGATGGAGACATTAATTTCCCCAGAATAGCTGGTGTAACAAATCAATCCTGACTGCACTGATAAATTGAACTTCAAGCTTGGTGATACTGCTTTTCAGGTCTAATCCAGTGTAAGACACAGCAGGAAGGGAAGGCAAAGGCGCTCGTTAGCATTTCATTCTGCAAGGAGCTGCTCCCTTCTCTTTCAGCACAGTATTGCAACTATTTTTGAGGAAGGTGACATGGGGTGCGCAGGTATGCGCGGGGGCGTTCGTGCAGATAGCGAGGTGCAGAAGAACTGCCCAGCGATTGCTGGCTTCTTGCCAAGCCCCAGACCTTGGGACAGGATCATAACTCGAGCTCCTGGGTGCCAGTGAGAAAGAAGTGCTGCTTATGGGAAAAACCTGGCTCACAGCAGTATAGGGATTATACAGCAGCAATGCTCTGGTACTCAAAGGGAAGAGGAGCTGGTGGGCTGGGCTTCAGGAGGCTGAGGTTCGGGTCAAGTCTTGACCGCAGATCCCCAGGCTGAATACAGACAGATCACTCCCCCTGGGCACCACAGAAGTACTTCTTTTTCTAAGTAGATGGCAAGTCCTGCTCTCCGGGTCACACAGCAGCTAGCACCCTGGGGACCTGATCTTTCTCCCCTCAGCACTGTGGCACTGTAAATAATAAAGGGGATTTTTGCCCTTAACTTTTTTGAATCTGGATGTAAACATCACACCTGTGGGAAACTCAAGCTTTTCACCCCTCTTCCACATTGGAGCACAGGGTTGCATTCAGCCCGAGTCCAGCAGTTGGGAGAAACGTCTCCCAGCGCTCTGTGTTTGGGCAGAAAGCTTGAAACACTGGCCTGAAAAAGCTCACGAAGGAAATTTAAAAAGACTTAAGGTTTGCAGATTTTGAAATCCCATTGTTTTAATTGAGTCTCCTGGTGGGGTTGCAGGACTTGAGGGGGGGTGAGCAAGGACTGGTGGACACTTGGATTTGGCAGTGGCTTTGACTCTATGTTCCCATGTTGCCTCTTCATTCCTATTGCTGCCCTGTGCAAAGGTCTGCGCTGCTGGGACACCTTGCACTCGCTCTGCTCAGCTGCCAGTCTGTGGGCACTGCCTGCCCCAGGAAACAGGCTTTTCCTTCCAAAAGCTTCAAAGTCCTAATTTTTGTGGCTCTGGTGCAACGGCAACTTGCCCTTTAGAGGTCCCTTTTGTGGGTCATGGAGCTAGGATTACATGTACTGCTTAATAATTAAAAACAAAGCAACGTTATTCACTCCACACAGAGCATCTCGTGGTATGGTCAAAGTCCACCAGCACAGCTTGGACAACCACGATGGTCGTTTGTGCAGTAGCCACCTACATGAATATAATACCTCCCAGCAAAGGACTGTAACATGCTTTTAGGTAAGGCAGGAGTCTTGGCCCCACTGTAAAATTGGTGAAAAGGAGAGATGTGACCTCAGAGAATGGCACTGCAGTATCTCAACAGCAGTAGACCTTCAAATTTTAATTGATTGCCCACAAATAAATACACAGATAGGCAGAAATACTCAGACCTCAAACCTGGCCCAGCTTGGTATCTCTCCAAAGGTGGTCATCCTAGCTGTCCAAGGGCAAGAGCCCCATTATCTTGGGATGATTTGCCTTGGGGTAATTTGTCCCCAGAGAGAAGCTCTTTGCCTTTTGCCTGAAGCCAGATGTCAGGTCTCTCACGACTGCTCCAGCCATGCTTGTCGTTGCTGTAAGTCTTAGCCCCTTTTTGAATCCTGTTAGGCTTGAGAGTAGAGCCTGTCCTGTTGCCATCTGGACAGAAGCCCTGACCATGCAGAATGCATAAAGCGAGGCTGACAGGTACCTGCTGTACCCCGACTGCTCACTAAACGTGTGCACCAACTATATCCAAAAAACATGAAATACTTGCAGTTGTGTGTGTGTATCTTGCGGCAATAAGCTCTAGCTGAATATTTTGTTTGCAAAGGATTGATTAGTTCCTTTCAATTTCACCTCAGTCTTACCATTACAGTATACCTCATCATCCAGCTCCTCTTCACACTCCAGCCATTATTTGCTATTCTTGCTATTTGCACCTGCCTTTTCCAAAAGGGATCTTTATTAGCAATAGCAGTCTCAAGCCACAGCCCCACTTTTCTTTCATTTCTGCTAGAGCAATACCACCCACTGCAAAGCTCAGCATCTCTATAAACACTGTGGTTACAAACGAATGCGTCCTTCAGCAGCCTTTTAGACCATTTTTCCACAATGCACATTGTAAATGAGGAGTAATATATCTTCAGAATTGCCCAGAAAACGTTATTCCGTTAGCAATATAAAAGCCTCACAGTGTCCGAGTAGGTGCCCTTGCCAAAAACATTTTATTGTGAGCCAGATAATTCAGTTTGAATTGTACACGGTTTGGTATAATCATTCCAGTAAAGCATTCTTTACAATTCTGTAACAGCAAGTCACATGGCTCAATAAAGTTTACTGCTGCAAATGCTTAGTGATTCACGGCATGGATGAATTCTGTTTCTTTCCTGGATCAAGTAATCAATAGCAAAATAATCTCCCTGCAATTACATTGCTCTGCATTAAAGAGGTGTGAAGTAAATAAGTACAAAATCTGATATAAAAAACAATGTGTACAACATTAAAATGAACCGCAGTTTGAAACTGGGTATCCTGCACCACAGTTTTGCACATGGCCTGTGCCAGAGCTATGTCCAGCATACTCCTAGCCTTAAATGATTCCTGCTCAGCTGATTACATACACTGTGCAACAAACCCAGTTGGGACTGACAGATTTTCATCCCATGACGTCCAACAGAGTCCTGCTGTGAACACTCTGCACTCACGCAGACCACCCCGGCCATCCCTGTGGGTGCCAGGGACCATCTTTTTCGGCACACACTGGAAAAGCAAGACCTACGCTCTCTTTATCAACCTTTTTGGTTCTTCCGGTGCCGCTCCCGCACACAGTAAATCAGTGTTTATAACATCCCCCACTGAGCTGAGTGCAAATTAAATCAGGCTAATTTAGTTTGCACCATCGTGTTCAGCTGCGAGTCGCAAAAGGAAAGAGAGGCATGACAGTTGGGAGAGGGCATGTGCTTTGTGATGGGAGCTGCTAACTGAGCCTCTTTGGGAGCCCGGCAGGACGGCAGTGCTGTGACACCGCTGCTCAAGGGCCCTGGATGTCCCTGCTCCCTCTAACCTGCTCTACTCCGCAGATCTGAATCCTGTGGCTCCAGTGACACCACAACAGGCCACTCACAATAGATGGTAGATATATAATCTGTTACAAACAAGTATAAACACAGCTATCTATTTATCTGGTTCTAACAGTTTTCTCATAAAAACAGTATGAAAATGATACTGTTTAGAAACAGACTATTCTGGGGAATAAGGAGCACACTGTTGTTTTTACTGTTTAATGCCTCCTGACTGGGAACACTTACACGCGATGGGGTTTCTCTCTAAATATGCTTATACTGTTGCACAGGCTTCAATGCAGTGATAAGCACATACCTGAGCTCAGGCTTTTGCTCGTGTTTACATTCTTACCCACAGTTCACCTCATTCCTGAATCTCATACACACTCTAAAAGGACATTTATGAGATTAAGCACCTAAAAAGTCACAAAAAGCCAGAGGGAAGGCTGCCTATGCAAGCTTAATATAACTCCTTCCTACAAAGGCATTAGAATATGGTCTTTCATTACATGTTCATTCCCGTTGGAGCTCTGTTTCATTCAGTGCCTAGACTAGGCTGTGCACTGAAAAAGAGACACAATTGTGCTGTCCACAGCAATGCAAAAAAATCAAAGCAGGAACCTATAACAGGCACTTAGCGTGGAAATTTCCAGCCCAAATAAATAAATGGTAAGAAAATTAAGAAGAATCCTATAGATAGATGCATCAAGTAACTCTAGCAGGGAGTTTGATGTGAATAGTCCCACTTATAACATGTTTTCTAATGCTGTTCACAGCTATGCACCCAGTTTCTAGTATTTAATTAGCTACAACCTACATGTGCCTGCATCGTTTGAAAGTACACACACACTCTCTCTCTCTCTCTCTCTCTCTCATCCTCCTTTATAAAAAGTAACTGACAAATATCCGAATGTTTTACCAGACTGCTCCTGTATCATGCTACAGAGAACAGCTATTCCCTGCCAATCTCTGGTGACTTAAAGACAATATGGGATCAGTTTACTTCTCACTGTACTGTACTTTTCAATCTGCAGAGAAAACCCGCTGCCTTTCTGAAATAAATCTGCAAACATCACATCCTCCAGCCACAACAAAGAGCTGGAGGCCTGGCTCATCACTTGGTCAAATCAAATTAGGTTCTCTTCAACAGGGCTATGCTGACTTATGAAAGCAAAAGAGATGGTTTGAATGCTTGCAAATCACCTTTCCAAGTCATGGCTAGGGAAGAGTGTTCATTCAGATAGTCCCCACCCCTTCTTCCCCACAAGCACACAGACTCCTGCCCTCTACCATGGGCCTAGTAGCTACAGAACTGAGATTTCCTCTATTAGGTGACAAGCCACACGGGGCAGGGGCCATTCCTCTCCCAGGCTCAAGAGCCCCATCACCAAGCACAGCCTTTGGGCACCACCACAACATATGCCATCCTATAATAATAACAGTGCAACATGAGCATTAAGTAGGTCGCTATGCTCCATAGTGTCATACTGTGCACCCATAGTGTTTAGCACCCAGCAGTCTCTTCTCAGAAAGGTTATCTGAAGTGAAATAGGACTCAAAATAAATACATTAATTAGCAAAACTTCAATTCACCAAGTCTATGGTCATTAGGTCAAGTCTGCTTGAGGGGAAGACTTTTCATAAGAGGTGAATTGCAGGGCTGAGCCCAGAGAGTCCAGTGTGCACAAAAAGCTGATACGAGGCAACCTCATCCTAGTACAGGCCCGGTTGTCCCCTCTTCTACAGCGTTGCTTCAGGAGTACAGTGTCATCATCATCCACTGTAAAGTAATGGGAAAAGTAGGTTGAAATCATCCATCCCTGAGAGCACTCTGCGATAGTCACAACTGAACTGGACTATGGGGCGCTGGAGATTTTCTGTCTCCAGAAGGAGCAGAAGCCATAATAAAGCCCAAGACTTAGAAGCCTGAAGCTCCTTATTGTTTCTACCTACTTTGTAAGAGATCAGGTAAAGAGATCTTTTTTAATGCTACATAACAAAACACGCAGTGCCACTTACAATGAAGGAGCCTGCATTTGTCAGTCAGGGAACGGGCTTTACCTCAGATTCCCGGAGATATATCCCTTTGCCATCTTGTGTTAAGTTGCGAAAGGCCTCTGCAAAAGAAATAAATGAGGAGCATTAACTTAATAGCCAAGCGATCAACACCAGTGAAGACGCTCTCTCAAGAAAAACGTCAAAGGCAGAGTTTGTAGGCTATTCACAAGTGCACATGAGCGCCTCTTTCTGTTGCTGGAAGGTCCCTGAGGGCTGGGACACAGGGAGCAGCTGAATAAAGTCAGGCATGTTACTGTCTGTCCATCCAGCCATGAAACTTCAAAATGCAGGCAGTCCCAACCTCACCCACTACAGTTTTGAGACATGTGCAAAGTGTCTACAGCACAAGCTCACAGACTGAATATCAGCTGTCTCATCATCACAATTGCAGTCCCACCACAGGTATATTCCAAGGCTCTCTTCTTCCTGGAAATGAGCAGTCCCCATCTGTAATTTGCCTACCTCCTCCTACATAAGGCTGGTGCAAACCTGCAGGGAGCTAAATCACTCTGATATGTACAACCTGGATGTCTGTAGAAATTAACTGGTGGAAAGGTAAAGAGCTTGATTTCCTCTATCTGTCCCTTCCTTGAAATTGATTACTCTCGGTCTATTCAGAAGCCCAATCCTTCTAATTTTGACCTTGCCACTGCCAGCTAGAGCAGCATCAGAAGGGCCAGGGCTTAGCTGGGCAGCCCAGCTTGCCTGGCCAGCCACATAGTGCCAGCCTCACCTCCCATGATCTCCACTCGAAGCATGAAGCACACAAAGCTCTCAAAGCTGATCTTCAAGTCAGGGTCACCATATCTGATTGCCATCAAATTACAGACTTCATTGCTGAGTGAAATGCCTTCATAAAAGGAGAAAGAAAAAAAAAAAAAAACGGAAAACAGAATGAGATGGCAAAGCCCAGCTGTAGGCAGCTGAATGTTCACAGCTATGGGTGTGCACACAGCCGTGAGCAGGCACAACTGAGTGGTCTTCAGCCCTTCTCCAACAGCTTGGTTTTTCAAACCTCCCTTAAGATTATCAAATATCAGCCAGCCCAAACCAGACTACCCTGTGGAGATATCTCCTCCAAACCTGAAAGGGTTCAGATCTGATCCCCTATATTCACAGTCCTGCCAGAGTTGGAATAAAATACACATGGGCACCCCTTTGCTCATGAGTGAATGAGGGTAATAACAGCAGCTGTTTAAGAGCAATACTCCACAAGAGGGTAGGAAAGAAGATGAAAAAGAAAATCCAGAGGAAGCTCATACAGAAAGCATCAGTCCCAATGTCAAGCAGCATTTGCAAGGAATAAAAGTATTTTCTATTCATGGCCTGGGATTTTAGTTTGCTTTAGCAGAGGTCCACCTGGGTTTCTCACTGTGCTTTCACTGACTCAGATGAACTGGCTGAACCATGCACCAAAAAGAGGAGTGATATTTAAGCTGTAAACCTGCAAAAGAGGCTACAAGACTGAGCACCAGCCCCCATGCAAAGCTCAGTAACAGCAACAGAGTATTTGGACTCATGTGTATGGTCTTCCATTTCTAAATCAAGCTTCAGACATTATATTAGTGAATTCTGCCACCAGTATTTCCTCTGCTAGTTCACACTTCCAGGTTCAGTCTCTGAGCTGTCATCTTCAGCAGAGGTAGCAATTCAATATGAGCTAGATCTGACCTCCCGCATGTATTCGCACAACCCCACACAGTCTTTTAAAATTAAATTAGTAACGAACAGGAAGGGATTTAAAAACTGGGTCTAAAATAGACAGACACTTCTGTTTCAGAGAACTATCAGTATGAGACCACAATGAGGCAAAGATTAAGTAGCCCATCCCACAGCAAAACAATTTTCAGATATGTTTACCCAGCTAAAGAGGGAAGCAGAGATGGCTAAAACCATGCAGCTTATGATGTTTTCCATTCCTCCTGGGCTCTACCTACCATTCTCAAGATGTTTCCCAACCCCGGGCTTTTTCTAGCCTTTATGAGGAAGAGAATAAGACTTGCCAAGATGTGCTGTGCACTCACCTGTCTCCCGTACAGCTGCATGTAGTTCCACAAGGTCAAGCTTTCCTGATCTGCTAGTGTCTCTTTTCTGGAAAACTTCCTGGGGAGACGGAGGAGAAATATATTTTCACACAAAACAAACCCTCCAAAAAATAACAGACAACACCGAAGGGATTGTGAGCAGGAAGATATTGCAAGGGGACAGAGAAATTATTATTATACCAAATAGAAAAGCAGCCTTTTCCACAGGACTCTGAATTCCTGGATACTCAGTGTGCCAGAAGCATTCAGCTTCGTGGAAGAATTAAGGTCAGAAGAACACCCATTACATAAAAAAACCAAACAAACCAAAACCTCATAGCCACTCTAACATTCACACAATTATAATATGAGGATAATGATTTCTGAGCCCATAAGCCTATCTATAGGCTTGATCCTCCTCCCACTAAAGTCTATGGAAACCCAGCTGCTG